CAGGGAGCCTGCTTCCTCTTTTTTCTCTCTGCCTGCCTCTCTTCCTACTTGTGATCTCTGCCTGTCAAGTGGATAAATAAAATCTTAAAAAAAAAAAAAACCTCAAAAAGTAGGTTTAGAGAGAACATACAAAAGGCCATATAGAACAAAACCACAGCTAACATCATCCTCAATGGGGAAAAACTGAGAGCCTTTCCCCTAAAGTCAGAAAAAAGACAAGGATGCCCACTCTCACCACTTCTATTCAACATAGTGCTCAAAGTCTTAGCCACAGCAATCAGACAACAAAAATAAATACAGCCCCACATCAGGCTCCCTGCTCAGCAGGGAATCTGCTTGTCCCTCTCCAATTCCCCCTGCTTGTATTCCCTCTCTCGCTGGTCTCTTCTTCTCTCTGTGTCAAATAAATAAATAAATAAAATCTTAAAAAATAAATAAATAAAATGTCTATACTAACCAAAGCAATCTACACATTTAATGTAATCCCTATCAGAATACCACAAGCATTTTTCACAGAATTGGAACAAACAATTCTAAAATTTATATGGAACCACAAAGGGCCTAAACAGCCATAGCAACCTTGAAAAGGAAAAACAAATCTAGGGACATCACAATTCCAGAATTCAAATTATTTTACAATGCTGTAGTAATCAAAAGAGTATGTTACTGGGAAAAAAAAGACACAGATCAATGGAACAGAACAGAAAACCCAGAAATAAATAACACCTACATGGTCAATTAATCTATGGCAAAGCAGGAAAGAATATCCAATGGGAAAGACAGTCTCTTCAAAAATATTGATGGGAAAACTGGATGGCAACATGCAAAAGAAACTGAACCACTTTTCTACATCATACAGAAAAATAAATTCAAAATGGATGAAATACCTAAATGTGAGACCCGAAACCATAAAGATCCTAGAAGATAATACAGGCAATAACTTCTCTGACATTAGCCGTTGCAACTTTTTTCTAGGTATGTGTCCTGAGGCAAGAGAATCAAAAATTAAAATAAACTATTGGGATTGCATCAATATGAAAAGTTTCTGCAGAGTGAAGGAAACAATCAATAAAACCAAAAGGCAAACTTTCAGAATGGGAGGAAATATTTGCAAATGACATTATCCAATGAAGGCTTAGTATCCTAAATATAAAGAATTTGTACAACTCAACACCCAAACACCAGACATTTCTCCAAAGAAGATATACAGATGGCCAGCAAACACATGAAAAGATGCTCAACATCAGGGAAGAGCAAATCTAATCACCATATACTATCACGTCACACTTGTCAGAATGCCTAAAATCAAAAAACACGAGAGACAAGTGTTAACAGGGATGTGGAGAACAAAGAACCCTCCTGCACTGTTGGTGGGAATGCAAACTGGTACAGCCACTCTGAAAACAGTATGGACATTCCTCAAAACATTAAAAATAGAATTACTCTACAATCCAGCAATTGCACTACCGGGTATTTACCCAAAGAATACAAAAACACAAATTCAAAAGGATATATGCACCCATATATTTATAGCAGCATTATTTACAATGGCCAAGATATGGAAACAGCCAAAGCGTCCACTGATGATGAATAAAGAAGATGCAGTATATATATACAATGGAATATTATTCAGCCATAAAACAAAATGAAATCACTATTTGCAACAATGTGATGAGGCTAAAGAGTATAATGCTAAGCAAACTAAATCAGTCAGAGAAAAACATATGCCATATGACTTCACTGCTATGTGGAATTTAAGAAACAAAACAAATGAGCGAAGGAGAAAAAGAGAGAAAGAGTCAAAAACCAAGAAACAGACTCTTACCTGTAGAGAACAAACTAATGGTTATCAGAAAGGAGGTGGGTAGGGGGACGGCTTAAATAGGTGATGGGGCTTAAGGAGCGCACTATTGTGATTAGCTCCAGGTGATGCATGGAATTATTGAATTACTATATTGTACACCTGAAACTAACATAACATCATAGGTTAAATGGAATTAAAATAGAAACTTTGGAAGAGATTCATAAAGACCACTTAAGTGTTGTATTAAATACTCATTTGCCAATAAAACACTGCATTTCATAAGCACTATAGGGCCCTGCTTGCCTAGGAACTGAGCAATTTGACAATCAAAGGAAGGTCAGCCACATGGCAATGAAGAACAATTCCATTAGCCCAAGAAGACATTTTAATAAATCAATTTAATCATAAGACTAAAAAGCAATGGATTATAATCAATAATGTCTCCTATCTGCTCATAATTATGTGGACTACAGATTGGGTGACAGTGATTACACTCTGTTAACTAAACTACAAAAATAATGTCCTGACTAAATACAGAACCATACAAATAACTCCTTGTTTAACTTAATCTCATGTAGTGTTGATATCAACATTGCTATAAACACAAGGACTACAAGTACTGTTTGGCTGTTTGCAATGATGTACAAATTCAATCTCCCATTAATATGTGATCTTAATATGGAAAATGAACAGTGACTGATTCTTAACCTAACCTTAACAGTGATTAAATTCTTAACCCAAAATGAACTATTAACAGACTATCAAATACAATTACATTAGATTTAACTTTTTTTAAGTTCAGTGATTTCTACTTTGGTACAAGCCAAATTTAATTTTTTTGCTACTATCTACCTGTAATGGCATAATCTATAAGAAATATACATTTGGTCTTCTCCCCCAACCTCCACAAGAGTTCCCTAGAACCCTTGGAACTTTCTAAATGATAAGAGTATTACAGATGGAAGGAGAAGGGGGTCTTTTGTTATTCATAACAAGCCCCTTTCAGCCACACAAGAGTTTGCTCATGAGTTAATGACTATGAGAAAAACCCTCAGGATGAGGACTGGTTGCAAGGGAAAGCAAGCAAGTGATTAAAGGGCTGGAACTTTCAGCTACCTGCATTCTCCCTGCCTCCACATTTGTAGGGAGGGCGGAGGGGCTGGATGTTCAGTTAATTATTAATAGCCAATAATTTAGTCAATCCTGCCTATGCAATAAAGCCTCTATAAAAAAAACTCTAGCTGAAGTGTTTTATTTTTATTTTTTCTGGAAGTGTTTTAAAGAGCTTCCAAGTTGGTGAACAAGAATGCATCCATGCTGTGAGGGTAGCACTCCAAACTTTAAGCTCCTGTGCTCAAGACACTTCCATATCTTGTCCTATATATACCTGTTCACCTGGCTGTTCATTTATTTCTTTAAAATGTGTTTTGTAATAATTTGGTAATAGTAACTAGAGCACTTTTCCGAATTCTGTGAGCCATTTTAGCAAATTATCAAATCCAAGAAGGGGGCTATGAGAACCTCCACTGTATAACCGGTTGTTCAGAAGCACAGTAGACAACCTCGACTTGAAATAGTGTCCATTGTGGGAAGAGTCTTATGGAACTGAGCCCTGAACTTATGGGATTAGATGCTATCTCCAGGTAGCTGGTATCAGAATTTATTTAAATTGTAGAACATCAAGCTTCTATTGAAGAATTGCCCAGTGTGTGGGGAAAGAACCCCATACATTTGGTAGCCAAAACTGCTCTGTGAGCAGCATAGTAGAGAAAAACAGTAATTTTCTCCTCCTACTGTAAGGGCCTATTTAGCCAGAGCAGCCCCACCTTGGTTGAACAGCCATTTTGTTGTTTATGCAGTAAAACTTAAACTGCCCCTGCCCCCACCCCACCCCTCAGGGGAACTTACTTCAAAGCAAGATGGGGAAACCAGTCCCAGTTAACAAAGCCCAAATACAAGAGTGGGTCAGGTCAGGTGGAGGTAACGCCCAAACGCAGGGATGAGTCCGGTCAGGTGGAGACATCCAATCAGTAGAGCGTGCATACTGTCTCCCTAGCTACTAAGGAGTGTGGACCCCGCCTTTTGGGCTCCAATTCTGACCAAGGTGATAGGCTAGTTCAAATGTCTACTATAGGGTAAATTGTAATTCAATTGGTCACTTATGTGTGACCTAGCATGACTGTGCAGCTTTCTCTGTGTGTTATAATCTCACTGGCCACCTGTGTGTGGCCAGGCCCAACCACATGGCCTTTGCTCTATAAAAGTTAGTCTGTGAGGCAGGGAGGGGTCGCCCTCTCTGTAAGGGGCAGCCCCACTGGTCTGTTTGATGGTCAGTTTGATTCTTGATGCTTAGCGCAAAATAAAGCTTTGCTTGACCTTCGCTTTGTATCAGTCTTGCTCCTTTGACCATGGACCCATTATTGGGGGACCCAACACTACTATATAATAATAGAGATATTTAATACAGTAGGAAAAGTTTGAGAATATCCCAAGTTTAGGCACACAGGTCTCCCTACTAAACAAAATCACCAAGTAGTATTAAAAAAGAAGTAAATGTGTATAAAAACAGAAAAAATCTATAAACAACTTAAACATAGCTCTGGAATGATACTGTACTCACAAATATTATTACTCTATCATTAACATCATGTACTTTAGATCAGTTTGTTTCACTTAGCAATAATATCATATATAATTTAATATCAAAATCATTTACCATTCTATAAATGTCCCGAGTTTCACTGTGAATAATGAAAAAAGAACAAGATACTTTATTCCAAAAAGAGATAAAGTCTTAATAAAAATGCTGTATCAGTGCTTTTCAAGCTGTATTCTGCAGTGCCTGATGAATTTTCCTCAAAGGTTTGCCTTCTTTAGCCATGGGAGAAGCTAGAATTCCATTTTCTCAATCTCTTCCTTCCAACACTAGTCCTTCCCCATCAAAAAGAACACTATCATTTTTGACTATTTTTCCTATAATGGAGTTTTGCCAAAGATTTTCTTTGGAAAAAAATTCCACCACTAAAATCAAACTATCTAAACCAAATAGTTTGAAAGTTTATGTAGTTAATAGTTGTTGGTCAGTTAAAGCTTCAACAAGAGTTTGATTTGATTTCATTTTGGTATTTATATACAGCTTAAAGCAACTTAATAATCAAGCTTAATTTCAGATTCTCAGGAAAAGTAAAGACCTTACCCAGTATGACTAGATGATGAAGGTGGTGGCAAATCTGGTGTAAGGACATAAAGACTGTTGTTTTTTGGCAAATGTAGCGATTTTAAGACGGTCTGAAAAAGAAAAATAAAAGACAAACAAAAAATGACTGTTGTTGTACATTACTTTTCCCCTAAAGTTCTTAAAACTTTTCAATATTGTAGTTTTTTGAAACTTTTAACAATTTCCTAAACAGAATAATGCAGCACTATTAAAACCAAGTAACTTGTTTCTCCTATATATACCATAAATAAGCATAAATATGAACATTAGAAAATACAAATTCTTTAGTTCATGATTAGATACAATAGATAAGAACACAGTTGAGAGTCATTAATTTCTTCATTGAAGAAGTACACCCTTGAAACGAATATGCACTTCATTCCAGGATTATTTTAGCAAAAAATAGCAATGTGGGTTGTCAGAGATGGTAAGACCTAGAAAAGATCATAGGGAGCACCTCAACCTAATGACTTCATAGATGAGGAGTTGGGAGCCTGAGCAGTAAGGTGACTTGGATGATGTCTCTAGTTAAGTGTTATCTAGGTAACTTAACTCTTACTCCAGAGAATTTTTTTGTTAAAATGACCCATCTAGGGTGAAAAAACTACTCCTGGAATACACCTGAATTACATCTTGAAAACCATAGAAAAGTTCACTAAATTTTTTGGCCATAAAAGTTCACTAAATTTTTTGGCTGTAAAATTACTACATACCTTTCAAATTCCTAACTTGACAGTAAAAACTAACATAGTTCAAACCTTTTTTTTTTTTTTTTAAAGTAAGCTCCACACCCAGTGTGAAGTCCAACTTGAGGCACAAACTCACAACCCTGAGATCAAGACGTGAGCTGAGATCAAGAATTGAACAGTTAACTGACTCTGCCTCCCAGGTGCCCCTCAAACTTTTTTTTTGACAGCAAAATGCATTAAGAAACACATTTTTTATTTTTACATTATAATCCAGGGCATACATATTTATTCTACAGATATTTATTGAGCCACCTATTCTGTGTCAGGACTATTCCAAACACTGAGGATATAGTGGTAAACAGAACAGTCTAAATCCCCTGATCTCTCTTATAGAGCTTTACATTTTAGTAGGAATAAATAAGGTAAGTAAGCTATGTCACTGAATATTAAAAAGTGATAATTCTTGGACTAAAGACAGATCAGGGAAGGAGGGTAAGGAATATGGGGTTAGGAAGTTTTGTAATTTTAAACTGGATGATCAGGGTGGAGAATGTGAAAACTGAGCAAAAATGTAAAAGGGTGATGAAACAAATCATGAGAAAATACAGAAAAACAATATTTCAGGCAAAAAAAAAACACCACAAGATACTTAATAAATAACAAGAAGTCCAATGTAACTTGATGTCCAATGTAACAAGAAGTCAAATGAACACTGGTAGAGATAAGTCAGAGAGAGAACAGTCACAGTAGGGATAGGAAATGTGTTGAGCTATGGTCTTTGACTTTTACTCTGAATGAAACAGGAAACTACTGGAGTGACATGATCAGATTCACATTTAAAAAAGAATTTCTTTGTCAGCTATGTTGAAAACAGATGGGAAGGGGTTAGCAGTGGAGGGTAGAAACACACAGAAGGCTAATGGAATTTATGAAGATAAGGGTGATAATGGCTTATGTCAGTGTGATAGTAGAAGTGATACAAAATAGCTAGATTCTGGATATATTTTGAAGATAGTGCCAAAAGCATTTCTTGACACACTGAATATGGGTTATGACAGAAAGGAGTCAGTAATGACCCCAAAGATTTTAGACTGAACAACTGGAAGAATGAAGTTACTATCAATTGAAACGGGAAAGACTGAAGGTGAGGACTTCCATTTTGGGCACGTAAGTTTGCAATGTGTATTAGGCATTTAAGTGAAAAAGACAAGCAGCTGGATATATCAATCTGGAATTTAGGGAACAGGTCTGAGGTGGAGATATCAATTAAAGATATAAAACTGCACATATACATGCACTTAAAAATCATTACACTGGAAAAGATCACCACTGAATTTAGTTATGTGATCACTTCACTAGTACTTTGACAAGAGCACTAACAATTCTGTGCCTAGCCTGGGCTCAGGAGGTCTGGCGAGAAAAAGAGACAAGAAATATAAACAAGCCTTTGGGGGAAGTTTTGTTATCAAGGGGACTAGAGAAATGGAGCAACTGTTGGAAGGGGAAGTGGGATCAAGAGAAAAATGGAAGAAAGAACATCATTTTATGGTTATATTCTATTAGAGATAATGAACTACTAGAGGAAAACATTGATGATACAGGAAACACATAGAAGAATTAAGAGTGAAGTCCTTGAATAGGCCAGAAGAGACAGAGAATGTAATCCAAAGCAAACATGGAGGAATGGTTTTTGAAAGGAGACTGGATAGGCCATCTAGAGTAACAAAAGAGCATGTGTGTAAGATGCAGGTAAGTAAACAGAGACGAAGCTGGGAGCTTATAGAAATTTTCTTGTATTGCCTTTGTTTTGTGAGTGAAACAAAACAAGTAGTCAAGCTGAGAGTGAGAATAAAGGAGAAGTGCTTTAAAGGTCTAAGGAAAGGACAAGTATAAAATAACCATTTAGGAGTGTGGATAATCCAGGTAAATATACTGTGATTGCCTAGCAACATTAAGAGACTCTCTAAAGATCATGATCATGAATTTAAAGATACACCAATACCATGATTTTGTTTGCCTGCAGCCATATTCAGCCATAAGGCACAGAACAGATGGAGTTGGATTTATTGAAAATAAGAATTTTTGTCATACAGGATCCATAAAGAAAGAGTTGAGACTATATGCAAGACAGTGATTATAATGATTAATTGTGGGATTTAATTCACTCTAAGGAAGTAAGAGAGGACATGAAGTTGGTAATGATCATGAACAGATATAGAAACAATGGACCAGAGGCCTAAGTAGTGTGGAAGGATTGCTGGAGTGAAAGTACCAAAGAAAATGAGCTAGAAAGACAAGAGACGGTAGGCAGAAAATAGAAGCCTGAAATTAAGATTTGAGAATCATAATTAAATAATAGGACCAGGGGAAGTTATAGCTGATGCAGGGTAGAGGAAAAGATTTCTGTAGGAAAGAAATTCAAATAACTAAGAGGCCAAGATACCGAAGAACCACTTATAAAGAGTAAATTACTAAGAATTAAGACAGAGAACAATTATACAACAGGACCTTAAAATCATCAGGAAATAGGGGAGATAACCTCAATAAGTAGGTAATGACCTTTTAACAAGAAATTCAACGCTGAAGATTTTTTGAGAGGAAGGACTACAAAAGGTCTGGAAGTGGAAGTGAAGTACAATAAGGACACATATTTTACCAGATAATCTAGTAGTATGATGGCTGCTAAAGAAAAGCAGTTAACACTGAGAAGGCTATAGTGAAACAATGTCCTCAGGAAGGCAGGTTTCGGTCAGAGGAAGATGGTGAAAGAAATTCAGGGAAGAGGTTGACAACAGAAGGAGTCTGGCTAATGATAAAATTAGTTCCATAAGGAACAGCAAAAAGGTTTCAGGTATTGTAAACAAAAAGGATAGAGATAGATACTACCTAAGCAGAAACTACAGAAATCTGAGTGAGGGATGATATGAGAATCTTAGACTCCTTGAAGTGACTGGCATAAACAAGGAGAAAAGATGTAATAAAATTAGTCCTGGTTTAATCAAACAATAATGTTAAGGCTGAAAGTGTTGGAAAGCAAGTGGAGTAAATGTAGGAATCTCTCTTAACCCTGCAGATGGAAGCAGAGACAGGGGTCTGATGTTACCCAAGCATAAAACATGAAGAACTCATTCTTGATCCTTCCACAAGAAGGTCCATCTTACTAAGTATATAGCCTTACTCCATGGACACTGGGACTTCATTAGACTAATACTAGCTATATGCTAAATAAAAATACCGTTACTGTTTGTAATATACTCTTGACATCTTCTATTTATTTTTTTTTAATGCTGACTACAGCCCACTCAACTCACTTCACAACCCATTAATGGTTTGTAACCTATGGTCTGCAAAAACACTGTAATAAGGGGCGCCTAGGTGGCTCAGTGGGTTAAAGCCTCTGCCTTTGGCTCAGGTCATGATCTCAGGGTCCTGGGATTGAGCCCCTCATCAGGCTCTCGGCTCAGCAGAGAGCCTGCTTCCCCCTCTCTCTGCCTGCCTCTCTGACTACTTGTGATCTCTGTCAAATAAATAAATAAAATCTTTAAAAAAAAATTGTAATAGGCAATTACTCATAATTTCACCTCTAAGTTCCAAATCTTTATGTCAAATATGTATAAGTCCTTTGAAAGTGTTCTGTGTTACCTCTACATAGTTAATATGCAAATAAAACACATGCATATACACATAGGAAAATTATTTTTTACCTTTCTATCTTTCCTTATTTTAATTGTTGGATTACTGATAAATGCTTACTCTTACCACTTGATCAAGTCACTACTAACCTTTTGCCACACCACGACCCAAAGATTTTCCACTAAATCTTCCCCCTCAAATCACATATGGCATGATTATACAAATGGATAATTTCTTTAAGTTATTTATTCATTCCTTCATTTCACAAACATTTACTCATGGGACTATGGTTGAAATTGCTGGGATGGGAACCTAATTTTATACAGAGGCCTGTTAAAGAAAGTAATGTTTAAACTGAGACCTGAAGGATGAAACAGAGCCACCCATGTGAAGAACTGGGGGTAAAGCATTCCAAGCAGTTGAAGGTACAGGTAAAGATATAAAGTGCTTGGATCTAATAGAAGAATTAAAAGGGGGTTTCTATGGCTGCATCATGGCACGTGACGATAAGAAAGGCTAAAGATGAGGTCGTAGAAGTGAACATTGGGTAAATAATATAATGCCTTTTGAACTATGGTGAGTAGCATGAATTTTATCCAAAGTGCAATAAAAAACTGTTTTAACAGGAGAGTGATATAATTCAATTTATGTTCTTAAAAGATCATTCTGGCGGCCCTGTGGATAATGTAAGGAAGAACCCAGGAAAGGAAGCTGGAAAAACAATGATGAAGCTATTACACTGGTCT